GGTCCTGGTTGGCGGTGTCCTCCTTCTGTGAGACGGTCATGTCCACGAAGGAGGCATCTCAGCGGGAAAGGGAGAGGGCGGCTGATGCTCCCTCCCCCCGCAGGCGACGTACGGGGGTGCGACGGAGGCAATTCCTACGCCTCCAATAGCACCCCTGTGTTCCGGGCTGGGGTCGGCGTGGTAACCCGGCCCTTTTGAAAGCCCGGCGTCGTCGGGGTGGTCCTAATTGCCGGGATCGCCCCCATTCTCCGAGGGAGTAAGTCCGGTCTTTGCCAGGACCGGCCAGTCGCTGGTGTGCCCTGTCGCTGACAGATCCGGGGTACACCGACATAGCGGCCGATGGCTTTCGCAGTGGTTTTAGTGAGTAGGGGCCTGCCCAGGCCGAGCCTCACACATCCCTTCCGGCCCCATCAAGGTCGGTTGGACGGCTCGTAAAAAGAGTTTCCACTACGTCATCAAAAAAAAAAAAAAAAAACATACATTGCAATGTTTAAGATAAATGTACGAAAAACCAAAAAATAATAAAATAGATACAGTCGTGGGAATTATAAACATATGCTCAGACTAGACTACAATAAAAGCGTGGGGCACAGCAATTGTCTACAATCGAAAAATGATTTCAAACTTGGTTAGGTAGAGAGAGGAGTTTGGACAGTGGAGGTGATCGTTTAACGCGTGTTAGATAGGACCCCTTAAACCTACACCTGGGTCGCAAGTCCCAGACACTGTTGAAGCTCCTCTCCCTGCAACGCGATGGACCCGGCACCCGCACGGTGAATCCATTGAATGCTAAGAGATTTCGTCTCTTCTCTATGGGTAAATCAAGCACAGCCGGAGCATTACATTGTAGCACAACAATGGTGTTGAGCAACAAATGTTGACACAGAGCCATCGGTGGAAATGAGAGAGGAGTAACCTATATCCAGTCTGGGGTAAATCTCTGAATTGAAGACACTACTTTAGAAAATAATAAACTAAGTTTAAAAGGGCAATGTCCATTTTTGGCCTAGCGTGAACAAGCTGCTATCAAAAAATCAACTTTATAAAAAAAAAATTTTAGCTAGCCATTCTATTGTTGTTTGAGTGTACATTTGTATTTTATTGAAAAAATATTTTTAAAGTATGTTCATTGATTTGCTTTATTGATCCACGTTTTGTGTTACCAGCAAGATCAATTAACGATTGCGTCAAATCGAATCATCTCGCAGTACTTAATACAACTATATACAAAAAAATAATAATATTTGTTTTTAATTATTTTCGTCATTTAAAACGTTTTATAAACTGAAATATGAAGAATGTTAAACGTAATCATATCTGTTTTCGATCGATTTTTTAATGACTTTTTCTATTGCAACACTAATAAAACAAAAAAATACAAATTGACATTGATATGTCACAGACTGATTATTTACATTAGCTTTGTTTAACTACATTGATTGTTGATTTATTGTTGATTTTCTTTCAACGACTGTTTATTCATTATGGACTCCGACCTATCTTTTTCCAGTGACCCCTGCACATCTACGGACCCCGAATTTCGCTCAAACGATGACCCTGGCTTTTGTATTATGGACTCCGATCAAGGCATAAACGATGACCAACACTCACGTAATTTGGACCCCGAAACTAGCTCCATCGCTAACCACGGCTTTAATATGGACATTGAAAAAAACCAAAGCGTGTCTCATGATAGTCTGCACACAGAAGAAGTGACTTCTTACCAATCCGTATCTGTGAGATACATAAACTGTGAAACTGATTTGATAGAGCGAAGGGGACATAGTCCAGATCTTAATCAGGTTCAGTCTATTATAAGACGATATAATAGCTCCTCGACGAGTTAGTGTCAAATCAATTATTTAAATTACTCGTTTTTTAATAGATATGTATTGTATATGCTATTCCTATAACGCAAAATGACGTTTTGTTGTTTTATATAATTATAATCCTTATATACTGTTCTATTACATTAGCTGACTTTGTTATCGAAAATAATTTAAATAGAAGGCGGGCAGATTTTCAACCTATAAATGTAAACATGGACAGTTTCATATTTCCAAGAATAGAATATAATGATCTTATATTAATTGCATGTGGAACATACCAACTAAAACAAGCTTGTTCGTATTATGGGCAGCACACAAGAGGCGATGGTTCCTATACTATAGAAATATGTAGAAATATAGCCAGCAACCTATTGGTTGACTACCCGATTCCTTTGGCCAACTGCAGATTATTGCGTGGAAAAATACAAAGCAGGCATGTAAGTCGAAAAATATATTTTATATATATATATATATATATATTATATGAAAATAATCACAATGGTAAGGAAGCTATAAAAGAATATTATTGTATTTGCATGGTTGGCCGAAGGACAGTGGGTTCCTGCGCTCATATAATGACTATTTTATGGTTTTTAAGTTGGGCAAGGCATCAGGAACACATTTCACCACCTGTCCAATTTCTTGAACACATATTAATAACATATGATGTCTCAGAATAAAAATAAATCATAAAAAATGTTCTTTTATTTTGCTTTAACCTGTTTTTCCTCACATGACAAAAATCTCTTTTTAAACATTTTGATACAAAATTAAGTTCATATTCTCATTATTACTAGTTAGTGCTTTTAAACTAATTACAAAAAATATGATAAAATGTCTATTCACGTCGGGCCAAAGTCCCCATACTAAGTGGACAATCTCCTTTATTACTAAATATAAAAAATTATAATACTGAACCATTGTAATTTTGTAAAGACAACTTTTAAGTATCACTTTGTATTTGAAAACTATAAATACTAGCTTTAGCCATTTTGTAATACACTACTGGAAGTGACGCTGAATAAAGTCTAAAACTTTAAAATCAAGTCTAAAACTGTAACTGTAAAATACGAAGTAATTTGGCGATTGATGGCTTTGTAATAAATCAACCAACGAATGTAGGTTTTGTTTAAATGAAACTAGGACTTGTATTTACAACATATTTATTATAATATTTTACATATTATCACAAGATTTAAATACTCTTTAGTAACAGTGATCAGGGACAGACGAGATGAAAGTATCTACCATTTAGTCTTACATTTACAATTACTCTTACTTACATTGTAATATCAAGTATTTGTAATTAATGTAAAAAGTACATAGTTATACTATTTACAATAATAATCCAACGCGTTTACGTTAGAAAGCCACATTCTGGAATATCTTACGAGAGATTTTGGGAGGGGAAGGGGGTTTAAAATATATGTCTATACACATACATGTCTTAAAGGTATTTGAATTCTAATGTCTATTATTTTATCGTACACCGCGTCGTAGCCAATTAAGATGACTTGGTGAAGTCGTATATCTCGTATTAACGCCGCGTGCTCAACAAATGCGTCGACTCAGGCGATGGGGTCGTTTTCGCAAGCATTAAGCTTGTTTGCCAAGACTGATAGTTCGGATGGAAGGGCTTTTTGGCAATGAGTTATACTGTCAGCTTTTAGTTGTTGGCTTTCACAACGTCACCGGAAGTGTGGGCCAGTGTTGGGACTGTACCGTTACGAAGAGGCCTGAAAGTGTGTGTGTGTGTGTGAGTGTTTGTATTTGTCTGTAGTGTAGTTCAACTACTGTTAGTCCAATCTGAAAACGCGGTGACCCTATTACTAATCGTAATGTCATCGTTCAGATGAGAACGCGTTTGGGGCGTCTCCGAGCACCCTTATGAAATTTATTTGGAATGTAGGTAATAACTTCCTTCACCAGAGGTATGGGATGAGTGATGGCTCTTTCGAAGTACCTCTCTGAGAGTACCTTCACATGTTGCCGAATAGAGGGGAGATCGAGATCCCTATGAAGGTCGACGTTACGCATGTACCACGGGGCACCCGTGATCATGCGCAAGAAGCGGTTCTGTAGGGTCTGAAATGGTTTGAGATTACGGTGGGCGAATGCTACGCTACCGTAGGCCATAAATGGTCTTATGCACGATTTGTATAACGTCATCTTATTTCTAAGTGACATTTTACTCCTTTTGCATAGAGGGGGGTAGAGGCGGCCGAGGACGAATGACGAGGACGAATGAAGTATGACGGGCTGATGGCCCGTCATACTTGCCTGGCATAGGGAGACTTCTAATCTGTTTAAGGGTGGGGGGTCTAAGGGAACGCAGTCGACAGAAACGACGAACAGGAGACCACTCTGGAACTCCCAAAAATAGAAAAAAGGAATATTGCAATAAGTTAAGAAATTAATGGAAATAGATAAAAATAAGAAATAATCTAATAGAAATAATAATATGTAATGTAATAGAAATAAGAAACAATGTAATAGAAATAGATAAAATAAGATAATGTAACAGAAATAATGTAATATTTATGATATAAAGGAGGAAATATTAAAAATAATGAAAGTAATGACATTACAAATGTTACAATAGACAAGCAGTAAATGGAAAATAGAATTAATTAATAAAATAAAACGTAAAAGTAATGCATAGAAATATAAAATGACATAGGAAATAAATAGAAACAACAACCCCCCTTCTTGATCCCTGTAATAAAAGAAATAGAATAGATAATAAGGCGGGTACACACAATTAGATAAGGAATGAAAGGGACGAATGAGAGAAAGACAGTACGCAGAAAGAAAGGCCATCGTGACTCATAGAACTGGAATGAAAGAGAAGTTGACAACAAGGTGCTTGACCATGTCAGGGGAAGTAGTATAAAAAAGAAGGGAACGCAGAGGAGGGACCGCCTAATAAATGACACTACCTCCCCACTGGGAGGAGGTCCTGTTTCTTACCATATTATAATTGGCAATTTTAGGATCCTTCGTACTGGGTTTGAGGAGGGACTCTTGGACGAGGAGAATGTCTACCTGGTGTTTGACTACTACGAAAGTGACGACGTTTAGGGACCGGGGTTTAACTCTACACCGCGTCGAAGCCATTTAAGATGACTTGGTGAGGTTGTAAATGTCGTTGATCATAACTGCGTGCTCAACCATCGCATTTAAACGGCCGTTGTCGTCGCTTTGACAAGCCTTGAGCTTATTCGCTAAGATGAGTAGTTCGGGCGGATCGAACGCCTCAAAATACTTGGTGATACAAGACAGGGGGTTGGAGACTCCGCTGTTTCGCTCAGTTGAAGGCGCGGGCGCGGCCGGCGACGTGGTAGTGATTGGTGCGGCGGGTTTATTTCTAAACCAGGCATTGACCGCCTTGGAGGGAGCCTGAGTGGCAGGAGCTTGAGGAGCTCTAGAATGGGGGGAGGATTTTTTCCCTCCTCGCTTTGCCCTGCGCGGAGCTTTCGGGCACCCGCGGTAGTTCGCTGGGTGCGCACCTAGAGCGTGCGTAACAAAATCTAGCTGAGTGGCCGTAGCATTGGCAGCGGTGACACTGTCCGGGGATGCCACGGCCGCGGGGGAGCTCTACCTGTAAGCCGGACAGGTAGCAGACCGTTTGGATGTTGAATATGGCTTTCACCTCCTTGGTGTTGTCCAAGTGGACAAGCACCATATTGAAAGGTTTTTTAGTTGTTGGGCGGTACATCCGGTGTACCGCCTGGACAGGGAATTCTTGTGACTTAAGGTCACTTAAAACCGATTCTGTTGAAATCTCGCAAGGCATCCCGCGGATCACCACCGTAAGGCGACGCTCCTCCTCTAGTGCGTAAGTGTGGTATCCAATACCACGCTCCCGCAGGAGGGCCGTCATCTTACGGTGGTAAGCCGCTGAGGACACTTGGATTTTGATATCATCTTTCGTCGGCCGTCGGAAGTGAATTTTTAGTTCTATGAATAGTTGGGACATACTGTCCCACTTGTCTTTATCTTTGAGATAAAGAGGCGGAGGCGCCTTGTGACGCGGTGATGGGTCGGGAGAGTGTGCTAGGGCGGTGTGTGCTAGGACGGGGACCGCCGCGTTGCTTGTACAGTATACACTTGTATGCGGCAAATAGTGACCAGGGTCCAGGACTGGGTAGCGCTTTAAAAAAAGCGACTACACCAGCCGAAGGTCGATGAGAGTATGTATTTGAAGTATTCGTCCGTGAAAATAGTTAGTATATTCGACGTCCATGAAACGAGTGTAATACCTCATTACATTATACCTTATATACCTCATTCGTTTTGCCTCTCAACGTTGGAAGAGGAATTTTTTTTAACGTAGTAATCGTCTGCTACCTATCAAGATTCAAAATTCAGACCTTCGAAACTTGGAAAATGGCAGAGATATTATTGTACGGCCAAAAGCAAAAGTTCTGCTAAGCACGCCCGCTCTTACTGAATTGTCAAGACGACCACGAAAAGACAGAGTGAATAGATGAAGTTTATCTTATTGTTTGTTTCCCTAAAATAAAATAAAATAACGAGTAACGCTGCTGACTCCGCGGAACGAACACAAAGCCGTGTGAACCAGAAGATTTCTTACACCATACAAGCAATAGAATGCCATAAATATCCTAACATCGGGCCAATCATGTAGTCTGAAGTATAGGTTTTAAAATTTAATATATATTTTTTATAACAATATCCATATAAGTAAGTTTAGTAGTTTTCCTTGAAACTCCCATCTTAATTAAGATAAAACATGAAAAGAACACCTCGGTCATCCAAACTATAAACATTCGTTTTACCATTAATCTTCATTAAAGATTATTATTTTTGAACATTCTTTTTCTCTGAATACTCTACAAAGACTCGTTTGCATATCATTTACTTCACTTGTTTTACAACCATCTTTATCTTTGGAAACAAACATATATGTATACCATGATTGATGTACAGACCATGTAGTGAAAACATACGACGGTAGTGAAACTATGAGTACTTTGATTGAGGAGGATGTTTCTGTAGGAGAGCTCTAAATAGTTTTAAATAAATTAAAATTAGTTATCTTTCTATGTATACGTACATTCCAGGAGGTTCTTTGATATCAATAGACACATCAAACACGTACACACTCCTTATATTGTCTGGAGACTGCTACAGTTGATACTTCAAGTCTTCTCTATTCTAATATGTTACACTAACCGAGTCATTCTCCTCTTCATATAATTCTATGTTTCATCAATACTTGGTTCATTGTTAGTTTTCATCTAACACTTGATGATCAGCCGTCATCTCCTGATGGATGAATCTCAAGTACAGTCCAATAACACCATCTGTAAAACATAATACAATATTGTTCTTATATAAAGACATACATAGACACTTACTTCAATTATTGTCGGTTTAAATAAAATTATTAAATATTTAAAAAAATTACAAAAACACTCGCTTATAAAATGACAGACTAAAAGTAGCATATTTTTAATTATTCAAAATAAAACTAGAATGAAAAAAAAGAGATTCGTTCAGTGTTTAAGTTCGTGGAGTGCTAGATATTTCTATTCCATTGATTATGTCATACAAGGCGAGTGTGCACTTTGGGTACATGTGAGCAATTCCATTCACTTTAGGCTAAAACACATGGACGTACTCTTTTCCCATTGTGTACACTACACTCGCCTCATATTATGATTAGATATCTGTAAGGGTACCGTTATATTCAAAAGATATGTGGTACTTTTATAACTAGCTTTCCGACCGCAGCTTCGCCCAAGAGAACCTTTCAAAAGTCTGGGATAAAAACTATCCCATGATCTTTCTTAAGGTCAACTCCATCTCTGTACCAAATTTCATTAAAATCAGTTCAGTGGTTCAGGTGTGAAAGCGTAACAGACAGACAAACAGACAGAGTTACTTTCGCATTTATAATATTAGTAGGGATAAATTGCTTCCATTTATAGCTCTATCCTTTTTGTGTTATTAAATAAATATCAACTTTATAATTTAGTATTTTATAACAGTGTTTATTTATTATTTTTCAAATCCCTACTAATATTATAAATAGGAAAGTAACTGTCCGTCTGTTAAGTTTTAATTCCTAAGCCGTTGAACCGTTCGTGATGAATTTTAGTATGTATATAAATGAAGCCCAGGAAAATGACTTCGGCTACTTTTTATCCCGATTATCCGATTACATAATGCCGATTACCCGATCCCGAAAATTCACGGGTTGAACCATGAAGTGGAAGCAGTTCAGGTTCAGTGGCCTTAGTGACAGAGAACTGTGATGTTCACGCGGACGGAGCCGCGGGCAGCAGCTAGTTATTATTATAATTATTATTATTTATTTCTGACAGTAAGTAACAAACATACAAAATAACATACAAGTGATGCTAAGAAAAAAGAGTTAGAAATATTTTTAGCAAACCGGAAAGCTGTAACGTACATACATACATACATTAGGGTGGAGCGAAAAATTTTTTTTCACATTTCGTAATTCTAAGTAGCAAAAGTTTATGCTTTATACGCTCAAACATGCACCAGTAATATATTATTTAAAAAAATAGTATAAGTACCTCCGAAAGGTCATTAAACTTTTATAAAAATTGGATTTTAGACAGGAGTTGATGAAATTATTTTTACATTACATCTTGATATATGTATTTTATCTCTTTATTATCTTAATATATTGCTAATATACTCTTTAATAATAATAAAATATAAAAACAACGTACAATAGTAACAACACGGAAAGGGAGCGGTGCCAATCAGTTAATTTACTACATGGGTAGACTAAGGCAGTGCACTATTGTCTTTCGAGGTGAACTGTTGCGCGCAATTATCTTAACAACATAACCTAAAAATATTATTTGTTAATAAACATGGAAAAAACACGCAGTGCTTCTAAATGCCCAATATTTGGTGAATGTTGTGAGTTAAAGAAAAACGTGTTACCAACTTACGAATGGACGCGGCACATTATGAAGACAAGCAAAAAAGAGCCCAGATTTTCAGAAATTGCTGATAAAATCGTACCAGAAATGGAAAGTATATGGCAAGAGGCATCTTTGCCAATAGTTACCAGTACCAGGATTGTTCAGATGTTAAAAGCGTATCACGAGAAACGAAAAAATCTTTTGAAGTCAATAGCAAAAAATGCTCAGCAAACGATGGAAAGTTTTATACAAAATAAAAAGTTACTTTTTGATATATCGGCTTGCAAATGCAAGGATTTTAACTATTGCACCTGTCCTAGAGAAAAAAAGGTCCCAAAACGCGAACAAGCCTTTTTAATTGATCAAAGGACGGCTCGTAAAATGATAATTTCCGGAGTTGATGTTGTCACTACCAAAAAAAATCTAATAAATCAGGAACGGAAGTTCAAACGAAAACTTTGCTCCAATAACTCTTCTAGTGTAAGTACGTTGCCTTTTAATTTAGACGTCAGCACCTCTTCACTTTCTTCCAATAGCCATGAGCTTACAATAAACGAATCATGTGCCAGAAATACTAAAACTGTCGTTCCTGTAGGGAAAAGGAAAAAAGTGTCGTGCATTAATTTACCTACTGTATCAAAAACATGTGATAGATAATACGGAGTATCTGACAGGGCTGCTGATGCGATTGTGTCATCAGTATGACATGACATTGGGTCTGAGGGAGAAGTTATAGACAGAAGTAAGTTACGAAGAGAAAGAAACAAGACCAGACAGGAGTTAGTGAAACAGGTAGGCCTCAGAGATATTTCTGCACTATACTTTGAGGGAAGAAAGTCACGGTACTTGCCAGAAAATTTGAAATCCATAGTAGATACTGTAATTAAAAGGAATGGTTATTTCGCACATGCTGAAAATGTGTTATTAGCTATGATAACAGATGAACGAAAACACATTCGTGAGCTGGCTGCCCGGCGTATTTTAAAGGCTCGTAGCAGTACCGTACATGGTCTAAGGCTTTTTGATATACCAAAAATTAATTTTAATGCTTCTAACTATGTCGACATGATAGACTGGCAAAAAGAGATAACTGAACCACCACTTCTTAAAACGTTGTCAACACAGATAATATTTAATATTGTTGTTCAGTCTGGTAGTGAGAATCAGATAACATTTTTGCGTCTTCCGTGTCATACGCAGGCAGTAGAACGAGCCGTGAAGGTTACAACAGAAGCAGCTATTTCGCAATGTACTAAAAAATCGCGACTAGGTGACATAAGGGCACAATTGGAATCAAGAGACAAAATGCCTAAATTCGATAGAAAACGTCATTTTAAGCCAAATTAAAGGTGTTTCAAAATGAATGTTTTTTATGTAACTTACTTTTTTTTTGCATTCATTACATTACTACTCGTGTGATCATTACATTGTGTATTTGTTTTCGCCTATTTACGTTTAATTTCTACTAAATATAGATATGAGAAAAGGAGTAGTATTTTCAAGAATTTCAAAATTTTAAATGCGGTTTCGGAGGTAGAAAACAATTTTCAATTCTTATGAAAATTGGTATACTTTTATGTTTTTACATATGGCATTAATCCCTTACACTTAGAAACCTAAATATAAAAAAATAATTTCGCCATACATTTGTGCTCCACCCTAATATACATATGTGTTTCAAATAGTCAAGTAGCAATATGAAGATACTTAAAATATTTAATACTAGCTTTTCGTCCGCAGCTTCGCCCGCGTGGAGGTAGGTTATATCGCGTTTCCAAGAGAACCTTTCAAAAGTCTGGGATAAAAACTATCCTATGTTCTTTCTCAAGGTCAACTCCATCTCTGTACCAAATTTCATTAAAATCAGTTCAGTGGTTTACAGACAGACAGAGTTACTTTCCCATTTATAATATTAATAGGGATTTTAAATTATATTACATACTTCGTCTCCATTAATATATTTTATATAAATAAATGTTTAAAAAAATTATTTACTATTCTTCATTCAGTTATTCATTACGAAGCAACGCGTCGGAAGCGTTCAGTCGATGTATGTAATAATTATGTATAATCATTAATAAAAGTATTGAATAAATTAACTCAAAAAATATTCACCCTTAGGTACTATAAACAATAACAGAATAATATTAAATATTCAACAGTACTAGTAATGCATTTAGTGTTTAAGTTCGTGGAGTGCTAGATACTT